ATTACATTCAATAAGCAATAACATTCAATACATACAGATTCCTAACTACAAAACAATTTTGCATCAGTGTTTTAAAAGTCAAGCCCCTAGCTCTCTTTCAGGCCAAGTGTGCCTTCCTTGGCCTGACTTTGTGGGTCTCTGGTTCAGGTCAGAAGTGGGGTGTGTTGCTATTTAGGGCTACCCGCAAGTAAGGCAGCACCTCTGGGCTACAATAGGGAACATACTCTACTTTGGCTCTGCTGGGGAAAAGGCACTGTGGAGACAAAAAACTGGGTTCCCTTTTTTCCTAGGGAAGACAGCTGTGAGCTATGATCAGTAAGAAAAATGTATGTTAGACCTGAAAAACAGAATTAAGTTGCAGTTTTCCACATCACGTCCAAATGTATGTATGACACACTAGTGTTCTATTTGCAATTGAATTGTGTCTAATTGAATCAAGGGGGCCCAGTCTGTAACAGTCTGAACCTTTCTTGCTCTAAGGGATGTTACGTTTCAGAGCTTATCCATGAGTAATGAACTTTGACAACAGAACAAAGTCTGGACTCAAACTTTGTTCTGCTGCTTCTGACTAGCATGGCTACCCACCTGGAACTTTGGCAAGTAAACTGTAGCAAAAAGAACAGAAAATGAAATGAAGGCAATGTAGATGCTTTTTAATGTTTGAAATGTTTTAAATGTTTGCCACATGGAGGGGGAGACCCTGAATCAGGAGGAGAAGGCAGCATAAAAATGTTTTAAGTAAAAAAAAAAAATTCACTAGCCCAGGCTCCATCCATTGCTGCCCATGTTCACATAGGTACACACAAAAATAAATTCCACTAATTAAAACAATGTAAAATAGGGATCCCAGTCCCCAGGTGGGCGTGGGGGATCCCCTGATTTGGCAGGCTACTGTCCGCCACTGGACAGCTGACGTGCGGGGGAGGGGCACCAGTCCCCAATGTAATGTCACTTTTGCGTGATGGCATCACATTGGAATGTCCCCACCCCCAGCAGAAACGCCCCCCCCCCAAAGTCCCCCACCAGGGACTAGGAAGGACCTGGCAACCCTAAAGTAAAATGAAGCTTAAGCATCTCTGAAGTACTGTGGATAAATGGTCTCAATAGGATACTTCTGCTCTGGCATGCTTCGTGCTTGGCATTATGGAGGCAGTCATCCACTGTGGCTCTCACTTCATCTCACACTAAGCATATCTCTTTGCACAATGTTTTTCAGTGAGTCCTGAAGTGCCTAGAGAGAATAAGTGAGCTCCACAACAAAGGGCTGCCTCCATAGTACCCAGAAAGAAGCATACTGAGAGCAAATGCATAGGATCCAAGCAATATCATGGAATTTTCAAAGATACTATCAGTCTCAGTGAAATCATAATCTTACAGGGCTTTTTTTGTTGAATTCAAGACAGGAAGAGTAAGAGCTGGTTAATATTGAATACAGTTCTTAGACATTCTTGCAAGAGTCGGTTTTAAGATGTATGTTACCCAAATCTTGTTTGCCGCAGGTGCACTGCAGCAATCATGTTGGGTGTGTTAATTGTGGAGGTGCCCTAAAATGGAACTAACTGCACTGCTAATTTTTGAAGGTGGCTCCAGATTTCTCCCAAAGGTCAGGTACACATATCTGTACCTGTGATTCATCTTTAGGTGCCTTTTTACAAGGATGAACATTGCCAGATTTGCACCCAAATAGCAAGTCAAAGCAGTTCTAGAAGAAACAGTGGATGCTTGAATAATTTCTATTCTATCGTCCAGCAGAAAAAGCAAACTATTTCTTAGATAAAAATATCACAAACGTCACTACAACACTTATACAACTGTATCAACAGCATAGCTCATCAGAGGGTAGCAGGATGCCTGCAGTGCAGACCAATAAAACCTTGGCTTCTAAAGAAGCTGGCAAAACACAGCCTTTATAAATTATTTCTAAATGTGGTGTTTTCCATCAGTTTACTGAGCACAGCCTTTTTCTTTCTCTTGAGGGGAGCTTTGCTCATTCATTCAGTCCCTGTATGTTTGCTAGTTTCAATCAGATCTGGAATTTGGGGGGGGGGGGATGAAATATCACGTGTTTTGTAGATGCATTGGTTTATTCTATAACCAACATTTCTCCTGGAAATTCAAGAATAAAAATCAAATGGGTGCACAGAAAATTGTTTTCTTACAAGAATTAGAAAAGTCAATGGTATTGCAGAAGTGGTGTATGATGGTTCTGTCCACTTCTCTCCCTCTTAGGCAAGATTTTTCCTCCGTTTTTCTTTCCCTTTACTGACTGAGCTGCCCTAGTAATGTGTTTTCTTCTTTGCTGAAGAACTCTGGCTGTCTCACCCTGTCACAGTACAATATTTTGGCTGTTGGCTCAGCCCAGGAACCTGAGGGAAGGATCAGGAGCCTGCTGTAACTTAAATAACTTAAATGGCACTCGAGGTGTTTTGAACTTCAAAAATAACAAAATATTTTATTTAACATAGAGGGGAAAGATCAGGTAAAATCAGGGGCTGAAAATTTCTGAGGTAAAATCAATTCATGCACAGACTTTAGTTCTTATGTTTCAGGCTAATGAGAGTTTCTTAAGCTATTCACAGTGACTTAAATCGTTTCGTTGAGAGGCTTTTGTTCCAGTGTTTTCCCAAACACTCCAGCACACTTTCTTTGAGTATTCTCTGACTTTTTGTTTCCAGAAGGCTGGTATACTCTTTCCAGTATACAAACCCTTTCTCTTGAAACACCAGTACTTTATTTTTTAAACTGGTTTCTAACCACACCAGACCAGGGATCTCTGCACTCTTCAGAGCTAACTCCCTGTTTGACTGGGTATGGAATTGTCTTCTCTCTAGAAGATCTATCCCCTTTCCTTGGCCCAAATTGGAGTCTTCACCTACTTCCCAAACTTCCTTGCCAATTTTCTCTGTGTTAAACTGCTCTCAGCTAAGGCTGAAATCAGACTGAATTCAGTTAAGGCAGAAATCTGACTGAATCTCTCCTAGGCATGCAGATCTCCCAAGACTTTCTCTGCTCAACTGATGCTAACCAATCAGATTGCTTGGAATAGCCTGTCACTCAAGGCTCTCTGGCTCTGTGAAGAATTAATCCTTCACAGTCCTTTATCTGTTTGTGCAGTGCTTCTAAGATTCTTAAAAGTGCAGTCCATCACATGGTATATACTGCATTTGGTTAAAAGCCCAGATTAATTGCCATCTTGCTTTAAAAACTGAAACAAAACAAAAACTATTAGGCAGTTTGACTCTAGTGGTGGTAGCCCAATTTGATAACCAAAGGTAAGATTATATTAAAGAAAACACAGAAATAAAAAGTTTTTATTTTCTTAATATAGTTTTATGTCACCTCACAAATTTTTTTTGGACATCTTACAATAAAAAAATAGAGAATTATCAGTACAGTCATTAAAATACTCAAATCACTGATAGTTCAACAGCACTATCACAATGCCAGCATGTCTAATATCACAATGCCATCATGTCTAAAGTGAGGGTCTACTACCAAAAGCCCTGTAGTATCTCTAGGGACCATTTATGGTTGGAGGAGAAGGAGAAGGAGAAGGAGAAGACAGGCAAAAGGGACTTCCCCCTTTCCAGCCCTATTGGCCTGATCCAAATCACCGCCATTTGCATCTTCTATTTAAAGGGGGGGGGGGGACACTGGAACTCCATTCACAAGTAAGTGTCAGGTAAACAAATACAGGTGCTGACAGCCCACCTTGTCTCCGAAAGTGGGACTACACAAGTGGTCGATGGTATCAACCCTCCTTACCCATTCTGGCAACCCTTTCCAAAGTTTTGGGATCACCACAGAAAAAGCCCAGGAAGGCGCAGCCTACAGAATATAGTTGGCACAGTGACTCCACTGGGACATGCAGAAATGACTTTTGAGGGAGTGCAAGAGCCTGTTAGAGGGAAGTGGAAGGCACAAAAGATCTAATTCCACAAGCTCCTTCAATTTGAATAAATTTTCATCCAAGCCTATGTATTTCTTTGCCCCTGTCCCATAAAGGCCCCACTCAGCTATCATGTCTAATAACCTATGATAAACCTATCCTACATAAATATGTGCACCCATCTTTTTTAGTACATCTAAGCCACTAGCTATCACCACAAGTCCCACTATTCAGTTACTGATTTATGAAATACTATCCCCTTTGTTTTTCTTGAATCTACAGCAGTCAGTTTCATCAGGTGATCCCAAGTCCTAATATAGGAGAGAAAAGTATATCTCCATCCACTTTCTCTCCACCATGCATAATTTTTGTGCCTCTATCACATCAACCCTTAGTCAACTTGTTTCTAATCTAAAAAAGGCCTAAATTCTTTTGTCTCACCTTACAGGAAAGCTACTCCAACCCTGTGATTATCTCGGTTGCCTTTGCCTGCACCTTCCCAGGTCTTACATATGGTTTCTGAGATATGGCAACTAGAACTGTATTTGTATTCAAATGAGGCCACACCTGCGCACTGCTATATCAATAGCTTTGTTTTCAATCCCTTTTTTATTACCCCTAGTATTGAATTTGGCTTAAAAAAGAAAACAATGTGTTGATGTCAGTGACCTGCCTGCTACAACCCCAAGAACTTTTTTGCAGTCTGCCATTAGCAGCTCAGACCCCATCCCAATGTGCATCACTTTGCTGTTTCATCTGCAATTTCATTGCCCATTGCTCATTCACAAAATTTGCAGAAATCCTCCAATACCTTTGTGTCTTCAACATTTAGAACAAACTCAGAATCACTTAACACATGGAGAAGTTCCAACAAAAAAGGAGGAAGCAAATAGTTATGGTTTGGGACTTCTATTTACTCCAAGCATTTCCTAAGGTCTTCAAAGTTTGCACTTAAGCTATTTTAACTCAAGTATTTTAAAGCTGCTTATGAATTATGGTAATGATTCTCTTCTTTATAAGCAAGCAAATTATGGGCCACTTACAAGTGCTGCAGAGTTCAACTTTCCCAAGCCATCTCAGTTATTATGACACAGGAGAGGATGGTGGGGAGCAGGGAGAGAGATAACTGAAAAGTAGGAATGAAGACTACTTCGCTAACAAGTATGAATTCTTAACACCAGAAGCCACCAATATCGTATGAAAACATCTTTAATGAAAAGTGAAATGTCTAGACGATACAGATATAAGCTTGTTTCAGAACTTTAAACCATTACAGATAAACAACTACAGCTGTGATCTAAAGCATATTTACGTACAAGTGGTGCTAACAGAATATATTTCTAAGTAAATGAGTTTAAGACAGGAAGGTTTATTGCCAGAGACTTTGGAGGAAGTCAGGATATTTTAGTAATTTCCATGGTACCATATCAAGACCATTGAATAAAGTTTGAAGAGAGTGAAATATTTACATTTGTTTTGCTACTGTTTTCTTCGCTTACTCCTGGACTGTAATGAGCTGCTTCTACGGTCTCTTGATTTTTGCTTGGCCGTCTTCACATCTGGCAAGCGGTTGCTATAAGGAAAAAAAAAGAGAAAGAAAACATATATCTTAAAAGCTCACTGTAGTGGAAATGAAGCTTCTGTGAAGAGCCGTGAGTCATTAACAGTCTTCTTTGTGAAGATCAAAAGGTTTTTTCTCTCAATCCTAATCTTATTTTAGCTATATTATGGGCAAAAATAGATTAAAATGGGGCAGAATTTACATAACTAAAGGTCAGAAGGAACCACCCAGATCCTTTAATCTGGCTACCTTTATACTGAAGCTCAGCCAGTTATTGCAAAAGTCAAGGCCACTTACTTAGGTTTAGCTAAAGTACGTCCTGTCCCAATTTTAAGACTGTCAGGGAGAATTCGGCAACCCCTTCTGTCTCAGAGGTTAATGCCTAAAGAGATCACTTTGCACACATTCTTTAACAATGAATTTCTTTATTACATAGCACCCCAGTGAAAAAGCAGCAGTGAACTGAACATTGAGATGGTGAGATTGGACTAATGTGAAGCACAGTAATTTATGAGATCTATGGTGGATGCTGGAGTCATGTATCCAGAACGGGAACATTTGGCTATTCCAGAACAGGATTAGGACCGATCTGCACTACTCTTACACAGACAGACAATGTACCACACACATGAAAAATGAACAAAGCAGGTAAAAATTATATGAATCAAGTTGTAAAAAGATAGGATGAATTTGCATGGGGGGAAAAACCATGAAATGATGCAGAAATGGAAACATTAACTCTATTACTGAGGATCGAAGATGGACAAACATGCATACAGGATTTAACAGATAAACTGATCTACCTTTGGAGTTACTGGAATAAAAATAACACAAACATATCAGTGTCATTTAATAATATTCAATCAAAAAAGGATTTACATTTCTTCATAATGTTAATTATATACTCCCTCCCTCCCTCCCTCCCTCCCATCTATCTATCTATCTATCTATCTATCTATCTATCTATCTATCTATCTATCTATCTATCTATCTATCTATCTATCTTCTATCATCTTTAGATATATAGATATAGATAGATATATTTGCACTGCAGGTTATTTTACTTTAAATGTAACATTTAAGTGGTTGGTACAGGAAGGCAGGGGGCCCCCGAGGAACTTGCGGCCAAGGCCACCGGTCTTTGCGCGGCTGCCAGGGAAAGACCCAAGCCCGGCCGCCTTGGACTGCCGGGGCCTCCAACAGGCAGGGAGGAATGCGGCCAGCCGCCTTTGCCTGCTGATGCTTTGATCCAGCTGTGGGAGGAGGGGCGCGCCCGGCCACCTTCGCCCACTGGCGGCTCGAGTCAGCAGTCGGGAGAGGGACGACACCACACCACTTGGCCCACCAGGGCCTCCAACAGGCGGGGGGCAGGCTGAGCAGCTTGGCCCGTGCGCACATTGAGCACCCCATGGGGGGCGTGGCTGACCACCTTGGCCCACCGGGGCCTCAGACAGGCGGGGGAGGGGCCCACACGCCTTGGCCTGATGGGGACTGGAGCAGCCAAGGGGTATTGGAGGCCACCGCCCGTCCCCCGAGCTTGCGCCCATTGTCTCTTGGTACAACAGGCCTTCTTCCTAGTTCATAATAGATCAATTCGACTCAACTCAGTTCAGTCTTATTGGCCCATGTGGCCTTGCATTGTGAACAGCAGTGGCTCTCCAAGGTCTAAGACAGGTATTTTCTACAAACCCTGGTAATCTGATGTGTTTTAAATGGGCTGAACTTTATACATGGTAAACATATTCTCTGACTTTGCTGTGCTCCTCTTAAGATAAGGCTGCTGTGGCTCATCCTAAAATAACAAGAAGTATGAGTCAGACCAATGGTCCATCTAGTTCACCAACCACAGTCCAGAGTCTCAGGCAGACACCTTTACCAGAATAGCTCATCTGTTTTAGTCTCCATTCTTTCATGGGTGGGAAGCATTTTGGAAGATTCTCAAATTGCTTCTCCACCGAAAACTGGTGAACATACACAGTTACAGAAACCGTAGGCAAAGTGACAGTTTTAAACTGAGTCAGCATATACTTTTGTAAAAGAAGCAGAAGCAACAATGACAGCTCTGGAGATGGAAGAGAATGGAAGGGAATCTGCATCCATCCATCCATAATTAGATCCAGGGCTATGTTTGGAATGCACAGGAACGGAGTTCCGGCTGGCTTCAGAGTTGGCCACACCCACTACAGTCAAAACCTCTGCGTGTGCGTGACAAGAGAAGGAAGGCCTGGAGAGTGACCCCGCTGGTGACTCTGAGGTGGGTGGGCTGGGGGGGGGGATGGAAGGATTGGGAAGGCATTTAAATGCTTCCCTGTGCCTTCCCTGGCCTGTCCAAGGGTCAGCTTGCCCCGGCTCCCTGCAGCCACAGGGCGCCCAGGCAAGCCAGGGAAGACATGGGGGTGTGGTCTAATATGCTAATGATCTGCAGTCAGGGGTGTGGCCTAATCTGCTAATGATTTTCTGCTGTTGGGTGTGGCCTATTATGCTAATGAGTTCATGCTGGGCTTTTTCTACCAAAAAAGCCCTGGTTAGATCTCATTCCCCCCCAGTAATCTTGTGGTTCCTACAAATTCATTTCATAATTAAACCATGCTAGAGAACGTCTTTGAGATGTGTGCTGCCGATTGTTGAAAAAGCATGTCAGAGGGCTGACGTTTAAAATCTTCATTGTTACAAGTGTTAAATCTTCACTGTTACAAGCCAGTCCCCAGGTTTCTAACGTTATTGCTTGTGTACCATCTCAGTTCTACTAATAAGCGCTACGCAGGAATCCAACATAGCTATGCCAGACTGCATCACATCAAATGAGCACATAAAGCATTAACACTATGCATAACCCCAGAAGGAATGTGTTCCTTAGTGGTCTCCAATTCCGAGTACGTGATTCAACTGCACAGCATTCATTATAACAGGCAACAAAATATTGGATAGCAAATCTTGTAATCCTCCATTTAATAAGGCATTTCTCCAAGCCAGAAAGTTTAACATAATCTTGCCATTTCATTCTTCACACTGCCTAGTAATCAATGATTAGAAGCAGAGGTTGGGTTATCATGCAAAGTACTGGCAGCTGAAATATAAAGTGTGCACAAACTTTTGCTACACAGATTACACCAATCCACAAGGCTACATACATTAGCCAACTAAAATCACTTTAGCTGATGAAAATTATAATAGCTCAACTATTAATAAAAGTGCACTTACTAGAAATTGTCCCATTGGTCCCAGGAGGCCCCGAATTCAGAGGAAGGGGACTGTTTACCTCAGCTGAGGATCCAGCTATTAATACTGTTCAAATTTCTTATGTTCACAATACTGTTAAGTGCTTTTTGGGGGACAAGAACTGCAGCATGATCAGCATATTATTATTATAACTGAATCAAAGAAAATAAATGTCTCTGGCTCCAAAAAGCTTTCAAAATAAAAACAGGGAAAGGAATGGGATCAGCAAAAGCTGATATGTTAAAACAGGATCAACCACTCAAACTCAGTTTTAGTTAGAAGGGACTTTTTAGAAAATGTCACACAATGTACTGTTTTAAAACTGCAGTGTTTATGGCCATTGAGAAACAGCCATTTGAAGCTAAAAGTCTGATCCTGAAACACGCAGCATGAGCAAATAGGTGGCTTGGGAGAGAAAGTGGCATGAAAGAACCTTACAAAGCAAGCTGATCCAAGAAACATACGCTTCACATGGCCACTGCTGTTGTCCCAAATTAAAATGGTAGGTTTTAAATAAGCAAAACAATTTTTTAAAAGCATAAGATGCTGGCTGCATATTCAGCTGGTTTAATGTTAACCACTAACAAGAAAAGTAGAGGCCAGCCTTGCACATTACTGCATTTCAGAACCGCATTTTTGTGGCTAAGTTCTTGCTTCAGACGAATTTTCCTAATGTCTGTGAATAATTTCTCACCCAGTTTATGAATCCTTCCTGCTCTGTTAAAAGCTAAATATAAAAATTAACCTTTCCATCAATTAGTGCTTACAAGACAACTCAACTACTACTTTCATTGGTATTTTACTTTTATAAAGCTAGTTTCAAAGGGTAGCTGTGTTAGTCTGCAGTAGAACACCTAGATTCAAGTCCAGTAGCACCGTAGGAACCAGCCAAGCTGTACGCTACAGGCACACCTGTTCTGATCCCTCCAAGATTCTCACTTGCAGGATCTACAACAGACATTTTCAGAATTACAATACCCACCTGATGTAGTAAGGAACAGATCGAGAATTCCAGACTGATACTGCTTCCGGTTTATGAAGCAGTGATGGTGGACGCTCTCCCCGAGCTGTGGGAGAGCGATCCGCACACCAGTGGCCTGGAGGGGTGCCACCTCAAGTGACACCCCCAAGGAGCCTTTGCAATAGGCTCCAGGCCAGGGGGCTTTTGAGGGGTAGCCTTTTCGATGGTGTAAGGCCGGAGAATTGAGGCTTCCCTCTGCCCTGACGGTCCAGCTGCTGTGTGGCCCTCGGTCACTAGCTGGTTTGACCGGGACAAGCGCCAGAGATCGAGCGGAATAGAGATTTATGAGCAAGGACAGAGAAACTGACTGACAATGAACGTGAGTTCAGAATAAATCGGATTACTTTAAAAAGCAAATCCCCCCCCCCGCTGACAAAAGCGGTCACAAAGAGAGACGCCTTTTATGCGAATGAACTGATAAGCGATACGAAGGGGGAGAGGGGAGGAAATACAACGAGTGTGTTTTGAGAGACTTACTTGATTTTCGTCATTGTGGGGCGAGTTTTTCGAGCCATGAAGAAGCGGTAGAAACTGTAAACCAAATGGAGAAAATGGCGGCCCAGCAGGGAAAGCTGAAAACGAAACCGCCAGGCAGTCAGAGCCCAAAACCGGAAGAGGGAGCAGACGTCATTAAACTGCTAGCGGATATGCTTAAGCCGGTGATGGAACAACTCGATGGTATTAACCAGCAAATTGACCGTGATGAATAAGAACTTTGCATCTCAACAGATCCAGCTGAATGAAACGGAGAAAAAAGTGGAGCAGGCAGATG